ATGTACGTCCTGCTGGTAGAGGGCGGTCCAAACATCAGCTCAGCAATGACTCTTCCATTTGGCTTTCAAGGCCGCAGGGTGTGATCTGGAGGGGACATCGAGCGCAGGACAAACCCTCACGGGAAAAGTTATAAGACCTCCCCGCCACGAAACCTTTGTATTCATTTCCCCCCACGGAGCAAAAAGTGCCGCGGCCCCCAAAATGACTTTTGGCGTCATTTTGCACCATGTCAAACACTTCCCCGCCATTTTTGCACAGCGGGCGTTACCGAACCTACCGGCCCAGCCAGGGTGCAAAAATGACAGGAAAAGTCATTTTGGGGCCTGTGACACTTTTTCCTCCGTTGGGGGGGGGGGAATGAATACAAAGGTTTCTTGGCGGGAAGGTTTTAAAACTTTTCCCAAACCTCTCACACAGAGGCCCGGTCATTCTGCTTCTGGGAGGGGTGCGGACATAAATAACCCCGAGCCCAAGACAACCCTTGCATGGCCCGTTCATTCCCCTTCTGGGAGGGGTGCAGACATAACTAACCCTCCCAAAATTTCCTGCGCTCCAGCCTCGATTGACGCAGTGACGAGTTAAACTATATGTCCGTAGGGAGCTCGCATGTTGGAAACCGAAGTGACATACATAAAGCACATTGCACACTGTTTATGAGACTGGCCTCTGGGTGGCACCAAAGACGAGTAAAACCAACCCGGCTGATCCCTACTAACGGGTCCGATAACTCCTGGGGCCAAGTCCCACTTACCCGAATTCTCCATCTCTAACCAGAGATTATGAATATGTAAGGACGGCCACAAACGAAAAATCCGGACAAGTGGGACTTGGCCACTGCTTACCCCCTTGGCTCTGCCTAATTTTATACCCGTTGTCCAGAGACTGCCTTCTGCGCCCTTCTCACTAAGCAACCTTTGAACTCAGTTCACAGAGTCGGACTACAGTCAAGCTGAACTGCAGGGTCTTCTTTTTTTCTCGCCGATTCTTCCAAGCCCTGCTTTCACTGTCCCTATCTACCACATCGTGCTAAGTCAAAATTTCACGTTTGGAAAGAACACAATCACTGCGGTCTCTGCACCTAGGCCTCTGCCTGTCCTCGTGCAGCTCGTGCAAACAACCCTTCTTCCTTTTTTTTTTTTTTTTAAATTCCTTTCGCATGTTCTTTTTTTTTTTTTTTYTTTTTTTTTTCCCTCTCAATTTCACCTCACACTACCTACCTACCACTACTCCTAATTGTAGGCATACGGGGAACCCCGTACCAGCCAGAACCGTGTTCAACTACGGAGGACCTAAGAAAGAAACGAGAAAAAAAAAAAACTACGGAGGACCTGTTTATTATGGCTCGCCTTCCTCTAAATGACAATCGGCCTCGCTCCACTACTCCACCAAATGTGCAAAGCGGGACTGGTACAGCCTTGCTCTCGCACCACAGCCGTGGTGCCACCCTACCCCGTGGGATGGGGAGAGATCCGGGTTGGTTGGTGTTGACTCGTACTACTTTTTAAAAAGGAGAATGAATCTTCCGCGAGAACATCGGAAGAGTATTTTGTGCACGTGGTGCGTAGTGGAGCGAGGCCCAAGGTCCAATGAACTTCTCATTGAACCCACCGGCAGACCGCCCGGATCTCCGCGGTGATCCACACACTTCACCCGACCGTTCAATCGATAAGACAGACAACGCACTGCCGCATCCTCGTACGACCGGACCATGTCTTTCTTCTCTTTTTTTTCTTTTTTTTTTTTAAAGGGCCGCGCGGCGCTCTGCCGCAGTGCAGTACAGAGGCAACGCTGGAGGGGTCGAGCAGGCAAGCCTACCCCTGTGACCCCTCCAAAGGCCGAGACAGGTTGTTATTGGCATCCAACCGCCGTAGGGCTGTCGCAGAACTGCAGGTCTGCTCGCTGCTGCGGTTCCATCATTTGGTGGGGAGCAGTACCCCCTGGCAACCTGAGCGGGCCTGCATCTGCAAACGAGTGCGGGCCCCTTTTCTTTTCACTTTTTGCACGAATTAAGCGAGATTGACCGTAGATATTAAAGACCAACGGCCAGATTCTCGTAATTCGTGCAAGTGGGACCTTGCCCCAGGTTGAGATGACTGCTGCACCTGAACTAAAATAAGTGTTCCCAAAAAAAAAAAAAAAAAACAAACGAAAATTGTGCAACCACGCAGCCCATGTGGCTGAATGGTACAGCCATTTAAAAAAGAAAAAGAAAAAGAAAAAAAAGAATGGTACACCCATGTAGCTGTTGATAAGCAGAACTGAGCTCAGATCCTCATGATGGAATGAATATAATGAAATAACTCGGGCCAATCAGTCCGATGATGATACTTCGAGGCCGTTGCCCCTTTTAACAAGAGAAACTAAAAACAAAACAAAAAAACAAAAACACTTCCCACCCCCAGAGCGGCTGCTCTCCTGTTGCTCCTCTCCACCTGTCAGTCCCTCTGCAGTGTGGTTGGTCAGCAGGGGAACGGATGTGAATCAATGTCAGAGATGCAGACCGTCTGAATCGACACCGCATTCATGGATATATACATACTCCCCTCCACCCTTCTTTTGCCTGGCATGACCCCTGGGTTCTGTTCGGGAAGTCTCCCAGAGCGAGAGGGTCTATCAGCCTATCCGAGGGCATACTCACGCGAGGACCTTTTCTACAAAGTTCCAGAACCTTTTCTACAAAGTTGTAGACGTCATTACGGTCACATGCATCCCGGCGTGGCCCTGATTCCAGTCATATTCATTTAGAAAAGTGTTCGTGTGAGTATGCCCCGAGATGGGGCTGTGTGGCACGCGTCATAACGCCCAGTTCTTTTCGGGTCACCCGGGATGTGAGGAACGAGTCAAGGGAGTTCCTGTCTGACGTGGCAATCAAAAAGCCAGCTTCAAGGCCCGCGTCAGACACTCCATCCGCCGCATCCGGTGTGATTGGAAAAAGAAGGGTGGTCCAGGCACTTCAAGGAGCCCAGGATATCTGGGTTTGCAATTTGAATGATTCAAAGCCACCTGGTCTATTTGGAGGGGGCAGTTCCCTGAGCTTCAACCGCGAGATGAAAAAGTACACCGTGATTGTTCACGGATAGAATTTAATCCGTGTTAGGGCAGCTCGGTTTTATGATCCGAGTAGATGGGCAGTTAGCTGGTCGGACTGTGGGTGGGTGGGAGGGAGGGAGGAGGGACGGAGTCCTACTCCAAGCATGGAACCAAAATTAGGCTCCGGGTGCACGTGTTAGAGCAGCTTTTTTTTTTGGAACGTTTTTTGTGTAAGCTCAGCTCTTTGCCTTCCCCTGGGCGCTTGTCCCCGGACTGAACTGGTCCCTCCCTGTTCAAGCGCAGCTGGGAAAAACGTCCCAGTTCTGTCCTCCCCCTGGGCCCTTGTCCCACGACTCAGACGACTGAGCTGGTCCCTGTTCAAGCGAAGCTGGCAATCGTCCCAGTACTGTCCATGACTCCATGCGCGAACACCGTGAGGACCCCGCCACCCGCGAAATGAAACCTTCATGTTCGATTGCCCGCAGTACTAAAAAAGAAGACGTACAAAAATTTAAAATGATACAAGTGCAACTCGTCCATACTTCGTGGCTCGATGCGACACAGCAATACACAACGCAAGTGTATCCTTCCGTACGGGGGGCTGTCAGCTTGTTCGGCCCCGTGAACCTAACTAACCCTTTGCAGGTTCGCCCGTCTGTGCACCGGCACAGTCCCCACTCTGGCCGCGGACAATGGTGGTTCAAACCTTCGGTGCAACCGGTCCACATTCCAAAGCCAGCGGTGGTAAGCAGAGCCGTCACCGTCAGGCCTGGAGCAGCGCTGGGCAGAGGTTCGACACCGTGAAGCGCCATATCCCAACCCGCTCGGTCGCTGGGTACCGTCTTCCCCCGAATACAACGTACGGTCATTATAGCTGTATTTGAGGCATCTTTCAGTCTAGGTGCAGACCGTACAGCTATAATGACCGTACGTTGTATTCAGGGGAAGAAGGTAGGGCGAGAGGCCGTACCTTTTGCTTGGTTTCCTGCTGACCGAACATTGCTTGTACAATTTTAACTGGACCAGGTTCGGAGCACAGTGACTTCAAAACCAAGGACGAATAAGCGTGTATTCAAAAGGATGTTCGGACAGTAAATTATGACTTCCTTTCAAAGTTTTGTTTTTGTGGAAGATGAGCAGCAGGGCTACTTTACGCTCAGCAAATCTCATCTCTTTCCAGGTCACTGTCCGGACAGTAAATTATGACTTCCTTCCAAGTTTTTTTTGGGGGGGGCGAAGATGAGCAGCAAGGCTACTTTACGCTCAAGAAATCTCATCTCTTTCGACGTCACTTACAGACATCCCCAACTTACCGACAAAAGCTGCCTCGTCCTTAGGAGAAACAAGGCATTGAACCAGTACCTGCAAGCAAACTCTTTTTCTCTTATTTTCCCTTGTTTTGGAAATCGTGCACCCAGTGGGCCAGCGGAGTTTCAGTAGTTTCAGGGTATAGGGGCTCGCTCCACTACTCTCCAAATGTGCAAAACGAGAGCGAATCTTCCGCTAGAACGTGGAAAGATACAGAAGCCCAACTTTTGTATTTTGTGCATGTCGAGAGTAGTGGAGCGACGCCCATAACATAATCTCATGTAAACACGTCAAAATCAAAGAGCGAGAGCACTCACAACGAGTCATAAGAGTGAGAGACACTTGTATGAAATGACAAGATGATATTCAATTGAGAACGAAAGCAAGTCCAGTGGTCCACCGTCGTTCCGACGTTCCACCCGGTGGAACGAACGAGTCGTCAATGACACACACAAGTGAAAGGAATGACGAGTTGCGATATCACAATGGCCATCGACGATTCGACGGCCTCTTTTGATTGAATGGGTGGCTGCTTCGCGTCTGAAACATCACAACAAAGAACGGAAGCACTCAACGAGTCTCTTCAGTTTGCTCGATTCACTTCATTTTCTCTTCTTCGGCAGGTGTAGTTTCGGTTGGGGGAGGGAGAAAGATCACGTACATAAATTTGATTGAGGTGGTATCTTCGGGAAAGATTGTCCAATACTCCAGGCTCGTGGAGGTACGACAACCTCGTCATGTCGTCAACACCCATTTCAGCCGTGTCCTCGTCTCTCGGATGGACCATATCCTTAGACGAAACAACCTGGAAACACAAAATTAACGAAGTTGGAAAAGTCAGAAGAAGTTTCGAAGAACCCAGAGAGCCAGAGGCCCAGAGCACAATCAAAACCAAGAACCACCAAGGCAAAGACTTCTCCCTGTATCTAGACAGAAAGCTGCCCCAGGTACCGCTATATTAATGACCGTACGTTCTATTCTGTGGTCGACGGTATATCATATACTCTACAGATGCCTGCGCGCGCAGACGTTCCTGCATGAATACAAGCAAACATACTTTCCAGCTTACGACGACAAGCAAACGAAATCCCCCCCCCCAAAAAAAAACTCGGCTGATGCATTTGTTCAGTGGCATGACAGACATAGCCAAGTAAGACGTTCTACCACCTGGGTACACCGAAAGCTTGGGTAGATGCCCCACCAACTTAGCTCATGTGGCTGAATTTGGGTAGATGCCCCACCAACTTAGCTCATGTGGCTGAATGGTACACCCATGTAATTGTTGATAAGGACACCTGGTTTCGGATCGTCAAAGGGGAATCAGATGAATAGATCAAAGTAATGGGCCAATAGCAACTCTGAGGGCGTACTAATGCTAGGACTTGAAAAAAAAAAAAAAAAAAAAACAGCTTGGGTAGAAAAACCGGAAAAAAGACCAATTACAGTACCTCTTACACGAAACTCAAACATAATCTGAAAAAAAAAGAAAAAACAATATAATGCACCGAAAAACTACGTATAAAGTATGCATATATACATGACATAAAAACTTACCTTGCAGATTCTATGTGCGGCACGTTTATAATTCCACGTACTATATATAGTTCTTGACTGGATATGGTGTTGAGTTGTTGAGTTGAAAGGTTCAAAATAGTTTTTGTTTCGTGTATAAGCTTTCCGTTCCGCCTACATAGTTTGGGGAAAAACGGGGGGAAAACGGGACTGTGTTTTTTTTGGGAGGCCGAGAATCGGCAGCGTACATACAGTACTGTGGCCTCGCCACACCACTATCGAAAACAAAAAAATAACGAGTGCATGTTCCCGCAGAGAGTAGCAAGATGCATCCGTTACTATCGGATAGTAAGTTAGTAACGGATGCATCTTGGCACTTTCTGCGGAAGATGCATTGCTACTTTTTTTGGGTCCGACAGTGGTGTGGCGAGGAGGCCCAGAGTCTTTCGGGAAACTGACGCTTGACTGTCGTTTGACCTTTTGCCCAACAATTATCTGTCTGTTCTCTTCACAGGCGGGCAGACTTCGGGATGATCCCTGTCAGACTTTGAAGAGTACCGGATGCACCTTGCCACTTTCTGCGGAAGATGCATTCGTACTTTTTTTGTTCCGACAGGCGACTTTGGGGAAATTGACACTTGACTCTCTCTTTTGACCTTTCTCTGTTTTTTAGTGCGATTTCTGGACCAGGTGCATTCGGACAAACCAGACTCCGGGATGATCCGTGGCAGATTCTGACAATCCCCGATGGAAATTGTGGCCCTCACAGTGAGGCAACTTCTCAGACTTAGGGCGAGATCCCACTAAACCAAGAAATTGGACGAAGCGCCTGAATCTGAATCCGTTTTACGAAAAGCAGAGCAATTGCATGGATCTGCACGTCTCCACAAACACGTCCTGATTCAGGTTTTCAAGCCGATCTCTTTGCCAGTGGGATCTCGCCCTTACTGGCAATTGCTTCGTCGCAACCTGGCAGAGTTTGTGACAACAGCAGCGAGATAAAATTCCATTGTCTCGCACACTTCTCGGTAGCTGCTGCGTTGTGACAACTGGGCGGCAGTGTGACAGTTGCACAGTCGCAGTTGTCGCAGTTGTCGCAGTTCTTGGTACTACCTTGGCGGCTCTCGATTTTGACCACGCTCCACGTGTGGTTAAGCCGGCAGGTCGCACTAGTTCATATCCAAACTTTTAGCAACAAGGGGCTTCGCTACACTACACAACACTGTACATGCATTTGGGCGCTTTCTGAACCAGGTGCATTCGGATAAACCAAACATTTCGAATGTATCGGGACCAGCAGATGTCCAAGTGCATGTTGAGTGCTGTGTAGTGGAGCAGGGCCCAAGGGCTCGGTTGCTGTTTTGAGTCTTTTGACCACGACTGACTGCTTGACACGAACGTTCAAATCTTCCACGACGACTCTTTGACAACTGCCTTTTGGGCGGACGCTTTCTGACGTCAACAGCATACCGGGAACCGTTGCCGTGATCACTAATCGACGTAATCGTGATCGCCAACACATGCATCTAAATGTTCACGAGGGCATCCCGAATAGTAGTGGTAATGATAATAACAATAGTAATAACAAATTATACCAATAATAAAAATAATAACAGTAGTAGTAGTAGTAGTAGTAGTAGTAGTAGTAGTAGCAGCAGCAGTAGTCATAGCAGCAGGAAAAGCAGGCTAGCAGCAGTAGCAGCAATAATAGCAGGCTAGCAGCAGTAGCAGCAGTAGCAATAGCAGTAGCAGGCTTAGCAGCAGTAGCAGTAGCAGTAGCAGTAGCAGTAGCAGTGGTAGTAGCAGTAGTAGCAGGCTTAGCAGCAGTAGCAGTAGCAGTAGCAGTAGTAGTAGCAGTAGCAGTAGCAGTAGCAGTAGCAGTGGTAGTAGCAGTAGTAGCAGGCTTAGCAGCAGTAGCAGTAGCAGTAGCAGTAGCAGTAGCAGTAGCAGTAGCAGTAGCAGTAGTAGCAGCAGTAGCAGTAGCAGTAGCAATAGTAGTAGCAGTAGTAGTAGTAGCAGTAGCAGCAGCAGAAGTAGTACTAGTAATAGTAGTAGTAGTAGTAGGTGGTGATGGTGGTGGTAGTAGTAGTAGTAGTGTCCTTCGGGACATCCTTCAAAATAGGAACATACAGAGAAGATTAGCATGGGCCCTGGGCAAAACAGGGTGACACGCATAAATTGAAAAATGGTCCAAAAAAGTAGGGCCAAGTAATGGTTGTGAGAAACTAATAATAATAGTTATAATAGTAGTCACAGACTCATAGGAGTAATAATAGTAATAAAACAACGAACAAGAAGAAGCAGAAGACGAAGCAGCTGAAAACAAAGAGTGGCAGGGCTACCCACAGAGACGAATGTACGAACAAACACCGACGAGTGCTGAGCCGGGGTCCAGGGGCTGTGTGCTTACCTCGCCACCTTTCCTGTTCTTCGAAATGACCTTATCTGCCTCGATCTTGAGCACCGTTGCCTCAATCCACATATCCTCTTCATCTTCAACCCACACTGGGGAACCGACTCCAAACGTTGCCTGCAGACATAGTCACGGAGCCGATTTTTTTTTTTTTCACACGCGATAATCCAGCACGTAAGCAAAAAGGGGGGCAACATAGTATAGAGCATGTGACCAAAACCAGGGAGCGATCTCCTTCCCCCTTTCCCAACTCTCTGCGTTCCACACCCAACTCTCTCCTTTCCCCAACGAACCGGTCGGCCAAGGCTTCACAAAAGAAGTGCATGCATCTCAGTGCATGACAAGAAAGAAAAAGCCGTTTTTCTTGATTTCTCAATCCGTGTTCGATTGACGCAGGGGTGCTCGTTCCATCCTCGATACGAAAAAAAAAAAAAAAAAAACAGGCACGAGACGTGTAACTTCAGGCGACAAACAAGCAAACTTGTGTGTTAACATGTCTGTCGACCAAAGCATATAAGAACCAGGCAGCAACGATGAGCTCAAATTTTAAAACAGAAACAAAAATTAAAATTTGAGAGGTGAATGGAGTGTAGTTCAAAAAAAAAAAAAAAARAAAAAAAAAAAAAAAAAAAAAARAAAAAAAAAAAAGAGAAAAAAAAAAAAAAGGAAAAAAAGAGACGTCAAGCGATCATTACTGAAGGCGGAGAAAAAGAGAAGGGATTTCTTTTTCTTTTGGGTGAAGTTTCAAAATATCTGCGGGCGGCGTTTCCTTGTCGCAAATATAGATCTTTCGGACCCGTACAACATTTCTGCTGCGAAACTTCAAAATGTTTGTTTACTGCTTCAAAAGCTCGCATTTAAAAGCGGCATATAGGATAGCATGTGGTTTATTTCTGCAATTAGGGAAGCACGTGTGTTTACTGCTTCATAAGTTCGCATTTAAAGCGGCATATAGAATAGCCAGGAATCGAGGATAAAGGAGTCCGCCGAGTTGGCGAAGGATACCGAGGATGAAGGAGTTCGCGGCGTAATAATTTAAAAAAGGGGGTAATGGCAAGAATAGCGCGTGTTTTGAGTTTCGCAGCAGAAACGTTGTATGGGTCCGAAAGATCTATATTTGCGACAAGGAAAGTGGGACCCCGCCCGCAAATAGTTTTGCTGTGAAATACTACCGGGACCTCTAAAGCTGCAACGTCCTTCGGGACATCCGTTAAAATTGGAACGATACAGAGAAAGAAGATTTTTTTTTTTTTTTTTTTTTTTTGGCATGGCCCCTGCGCTTCTTTTTTTATTTTTTTTTTGGCATGGCCCCTGCGCAAGGATGACACGCATAAATCGACAAATGGTCTAAAGCTGCAACAAAAGATATATGTTTTGCAACGAAACTTGAGCCCCCCCCCAACGCTTTTGCTGTGAAACTACGGCGACGCGCTATTTTGAAACTTACTCTTTTTTTCTTTTCTTTTGAAAAGTCGTGCTTGCGGAGTTTTTTTTCCCCATTTTTTTTATAAAAGACATGCTTGCAACGTTTCGACTGCGATCGCGCGCTCACGACTCGACTGAGAGCATACTCATACTAGCACTTTTTTACTTATTTCTGGACGGAAATTGGGCCAGATACATACAGCTCCAGCCGTATCTGCGGTCAGATTCTTCTAAAATAGTACTAGCATGCGGTCAGATTCATTTAACATAGTACTAGTATGAGTACGCCCTACGAACATATGCAACGTAATCTATGGGCCTCGCGCCACCAGTCACCACGTGCGGAAAAGACAAGTTTTGCCGGTGCATCTTTCCATGTTGTAGCGGAAGATTCATTCTCATTTTGCACATTTGGTGAGTGGCGGAGCGAGGCCCTGAAAAGGGTCAGCAGATTGAAGGAGCGTTTACAGAATCGAATTTAACTGGTAAGGGAAAAAGTTCCCACATGTTAAAAAGGTGATCTTTTCGGCACCTTTCGACATACCGAGAGCTGGTGTCGTGCAGACTCCCCTGTCGG